TGCTACAATCGTCCTGAGTGGTTCCTTTACAGTTCAACTGCTTATCTTTGGCTGGTAAAAAGACAGAATCCACCGATAAAACTTCCTCTGACTTTCTTCTAACATTCTTATCTTCCTTGTTAGGTCCTTCTTCGTCTTTGTCCACATTTCCACCTTGCCCGCTTCCTTCGGCCGGTAACTCATTTCCATGGACAGGTCGAATTTGTTCATTGCGTCTCTCGTGTTCCAAGAGGGAATTGGCTTGAACCAAAGAATTTTGTGAAGTTCGAGATGAAGGATTTGGATGAGCCAAAGTTCGAGGCGAAAGCCGGTTCGTTACAGGAGGAGCAGCAGGTAAGTCATTTCCATTGAGAGGTCGAGGTCGAATTTGTCCATTGCGTCTCTCGTGTTCCAAGAGGGAATTAGGTTGAAGATTTCGTGAAGTTCGAGACAAAGGAATTGGATGAGCCAAACTTCGAGGCAAAACCGGGTTCGTTACAGGAGGAGCAGCTCGAGAAGTCTTAGGGATCGACGGAGGAGGCGGAGTTGTATGTGAAAGACCACTTCGAGTCGATTCCGGCAAAAAAAGAGGAGGTAGAGAAGACGAGTCTCGAGACGAGTCTCGAAGGGAGCGGGTAGGATGAGCTGTGGGGTCTTCTATAGCAGAGCTAATCCGTGAACGCCGTGGAGCAAACTTCGAAGTTCGAGACTTCGGAGGAGAGGCGGGGGAGGAGGATTGGGAGGATTGGTCATCCTGGACCCTTGGGGCTCGAAGCTTGATTTTGATCTTTCTTTTGGGCGGTTGATCTTCTTCAGAGGAGCTGATCAGCGTGGCTATAGCTCTCTTGGTCGATTCCATGGTCGGTGCATCCAACAAAGAATCCTGTAGCTTTTGTTGCCAGAGCTTCACCTGTTCCACGAATCTGTCAGACTTTATGTCATCTTGCACAATCCTTGACACGGCTTCTCGAGTCAATGGTCTCTCTGCACCAAAGTCTTTTGGTGAACTCGGAACGAGAGGCTCCCCGTCTAAAACCAGACCGTCATCATCTCTTCAGCTTCCGTTTCCAATAAGTAGCACGGAAACTGATGAAGAGATAAAGGGACGTTACCTTTTGTGCTCGTCACCCATTTGCGAACCACGACTATCTCTTCCGGTGCCAATGCGGAGATTGCACCTGGCGCGCAAGTTGATGATGCCTCGGTTGAATGTGAGAAGTCCGAATCATGATGTAGAACACCGTCGCGGTCCAACCATTGGTATTCGGTGGATGTAACTAGATCGACGTCGCATTTGATTTTTGAGGCCCTGCACCATTCGCACTTGACTGATTTCTTGCCACTGGTTACACAGACGCGACCAGTCTTCTGGCACCTCGAACATGGACGCTCAAACACATGTACCTTTGAGTACCCGCCCATCCTAATCAGAGCCTCATCCGACTCAGGCTCGCACCGGGCCGATTTAGGTGACTGAGGTTGAATGTCCAGGACAGTTCCTGGTTCGAGTGGTAGAATTTCGGGTTGGGGTGAGGCCATGGCTGGAAGAGAGCAACGTAGGATGAGTCAGAAAAAAATCGAAAGAAACAGATTTGAATGATTCGAAGGAACTAAACTCAAAAGATTCGGAGGAACTAAACTTGAAAGTTCTGAAAGAACTGGATTCTGCGGAGTCGAAGGGACTAATTTGAACTTGAAAGACTTGAACGAGCTAGATTTTGAAGTTTTGAAGGAAGTAATTTGAACTTGAAGGAGTTGAAAGGTCTAGATTTTGAAAGTTCGAGGGAACTAAACTTGAAAAATCTGAAAGAGTTAGATTTTGAAGTTTCGGAGGGATCAATCTGAAAGAACTAGATTCGAAACGACTAGATTTGAAAGATTTGAGAACTTTGGAAGCACTGAGAGGAGCGGGTGAAAGTTGAAAGGTAGACTACAAGAGAGCAAAGGGGCAGAGGAAGGACCGGATCTTATATGTAGAGGATATACCACCTCATCAAACAAGCTCTATGCTACGTGAGGCTGACGAAAACAATCGCATAAATTCAAGATTATGAATTGCTTGCTTTGATCATCTCGGAGTCTTTAGAAACATGAGATGGCTGAGGAACTTTGCAGAGCTTCCCTATTTGCGAACAGAGTAGTGTTTTACCAGCGTTTGGTACTGCATTCACAAAGGAGCGTACAGAAAAGCTTGTTTATGAATGTTGAGCTTCACGCCCGAATGGTGATTTTGATTTGATAGAAAAATATTACAAAATCACGTAAACTCAGGTGATAAGCTAGACTTTCACAATGAGTATCATCCTATGTACTCATTCTGACTGGTCTCAATGATTGTCACGACCTCTTTGTGCGCATAACCAGTATTCAGCGATATTCCCGCCTTGAGCGATATTGCTATGAGACAGAATTCGCTCGTAGCATTTGGAGCTCTGAAGTGGCCACCAACTGTGATTATGCTAAGACACTCCTATAGTGAAGATGGGAGGGACGGTGGGAAAATAAAATCATCTGGTCTTCAAGATACTAAAATGACTTTAGATAGAAGTTTTGAGAGAAAACCCCGTTGCAAACGAGGATGGATGATACTCATGATCCAATATAATAATATCAGAGGAGGGCAAGATGAATCATACAGCTCCGATAAATCATACCGAGGTAAAGTGCAAGCGCGTAGGCTGCACTTCACCTTACGCCCGAATATGATTTTTCATCCATCATAAGTAGATACTACGAAAAAACGTGAGGGATAGCTTCACGATACGTATCATCCTATATACGTATCGTACTCGACTGATCAGATCTCATTGAATGTGATGACCGTGTGAAGTCTACCTCTTTCAACAGGCCTTTTAGTTTTGTATATCCTTGCTGCACTTTTGCCGACAGTTTGAGAAGCGCACGATGTAATGCGTAAACTGTTGCAAACAGTTCCCCGTTGTTTCGTCATTGCCTTCTTCGAACTGATACTCAGTCAACCCAAAGTGTTGAAGTCTTGTACCGACTTGCGTAGTTGTATGTACGATGACTTCGACGCGCCTCGGGAGGCCACGATCATGCTTGACTGGAAGATAGAAAAGCATCGAGAAGAATCATCTAAAGATCAGGCACTTGGTCTAGAATAATCAAGACGTGTTCAGATCTCAAGACATTGTCTATTGCTCAGAAGATAGATATGCGTATACCTCAAAACGTCTGAAGGGATGCAACAATGGACAGCAAGTTACATTTACATATTACATATGTTGATGCCCTTATTCTACCTCAGAGGATGTTTGTTCTTGAATGACAATGGATGAGGAGCTCAGTCAGTCACTCAAGGCGCAACTCAACTTGAGTGATTGATAGCAATAGACATAGCTGATTGGTATGGACTACTACGATATTAAAAGGGTCCTTTAGATTTGCGCAGGAATAAGCCATCGGGTGCCCAGCCTATATGCGTTGAAGGGCTGAGCACCTAAGTCACAAAGGTGATCTAGACATGAGGAAGCTCATTCTAGCCTCATATGTAGCGTCCAGACAAGATTCGATAACTCTTCTCATAAATACCAGCATGATCTGTGCATAGCAGCAACACACCCCATATCACGTCTTCTCAATTCAAATACATAGCCATTTGATCCGAAAATCAACCACTCAATCGAAAAGATATGTCCAACCAACGTAGATGTACTCATCAATTCACATGCGCTGGCTGCGTCAAACACAGTAAATGTCAGCAAGGGGGATCGACGACATTGGCAGGGGTCAGACGACCCAGGACCGATCGCACAAAGAGTACGTGTTGTCTTCGGTTCATCAGGTTGAACTCGCTTACTCAACTAGATATTATGAACTCAGGGATTCTATGGCGGCGGTTGTTTCTCTCACTAGCAAGCTATCTCAACCTCGTGATGATAGTGTGTATACGGATTTTAGCTCGATATCCAACCGGAAGCTTTGCGGTATTTTTCAGAAACTGGGCTCCCGATGTTCTACACACTGCATGGGGAAATGCGTGTTTTGCGTGTTGAGGAAGTCTGAAAACCTACCTCAAAATCTCTGCACTGGATTCCTTTTGCCTCGAGATCTTGCATGGGTTTTTGATGGTAGTCTTTGTTGTCCTCGGATGAACTTCTTTGAATGGGATGCGCGCGGGAGGGTGGATGGCAAGATTGGAAAATACTATTTTATCACATTCCATTTATTTCACATCTCATTCGAATTTCTCACATACTTATAACATGAATATCTAGAGATAGAAGCGAGGTTTTTTTTAAGTACATTCTCCATGAATAGCGATTTTTAAAAATTTGCATCGTCTGTGAAAGACTTGGATTCCGAGTCTAAATCAAATGATGGTGAGATGCACATGAGTAAATAGAATTTGCACTTCGAACTTCGAACTTCGAACTTCAAACTTAACTTCAAACTTTGAAGTTTGAAGTTCGAACTAAGCTCGAACTGTTCAATATTAATGACCAAAATTGAGATCAGGTGAAGATTCACTGCATGCAAAAGAGCTTCAGTTTTGAAGTTTAAACTTCAAGCTGTGGGTGAGATTTGAGAGTTTTGACGTTCGAATTTGGCAAACTTCCGAGATCGATGATGAAGAGGTGTCTCGCACTTTGATCGGTGTGTGTTCTCGTAAATTCTCCCGACCTTCGAGCCATATCACGAGTAGCGAGAAAGATTTCAAGCTCATTTAGATCATGCAAGATACAATTTTATTGAGAACATGCAAGAAACAATTTTATTGAGATCATGCAAGAAACAACTTTACGTACCATGATTCAAGCATAAGGTTCGACTTTACGCGCGCGCAAGCAATCACATTTGACGTGGCTTCCTACAAACAAATGCTTGAACTCACACATTGACACAGCAATATATTATCAATTTCCAAAAACGTACCTAGGTGTCACCTTGACAAGGTACTTTTGAGCTCTCTCAAATCACTCGAGTCATCATCGTCCACTTTCAAAGACAAGGCCTTGTCCTACGAAGCCTATCCATTTGATCGCGTTTTATAATCAACCATGTCTTCTGCCTCGTCCAACAACTCTCACAACACGAGTTTTCCTATAATCCGTCCTGATAATGCTTCTCGAAATTACACATCCTCCGATTTTGATCTCGTCTCTGTGCGTCTTCGGGCCCTTATTTTGGATCATCGCCTTCGCAAATTCTTAGCAGTTTGTCATGAGGATGCCCCAATCCCAACCGCTACCAAAGACGACCTGTTGAAGTTGCTAGCGTCTTTCCATCCGGGACTCCGTCTGGATACGAGAATCTCGGAAGAAACTCTGTCACAACTGTTCACACTCATTGTTCGGCCATTTTTCCTCAACATGGATTATTTCGACGAAGAGACAAATGTAATGCTCTATTGGGATGTTCCTCTTTAATTCCCTGTAATCACCCAGGTCAAAAGGTAAACTTTTGTAATTCTAACTCTTCATCGATATGGAAGGTCTTTATATCGTCTGTTGCTGATTCTGCCAAAGTGGGCATTCTTTGATTTGTAGTATGTGACTCCTGCGATTCGGGTTTTCAATGACGCCAAACTAGATGATCGAATAGAATTTCGCAAGATGGATAACTCCTAGAAAGAAGCTGGAAGGAAGATAGCAAAGTCAATCGACAAAGGGATTCACGACGGACTCCCTCGTAGTTTTTTGCTTTGATTTCACAAAACTTGTTCCAACTTGTCAGGATGATGTCAAGTTTGTAGATTTGGGAATTTTTTCTGACAGCTATGCAAATTCACTGCCATCACATCTCATGTTTTCGTAAAAAGAAAGTGAAAAAATCCACGTAAAGTTGTTAGGTGCCCTCTGATCTCGAAGTCCATTTTTACGCGCAATGAGTCATGTTATAAGGAATTGATTTCATCAACACATAGCAAAAAGTACGAAGATTTTAGAACTGAGGGTAATTAGAGTATGAATATGTACAAAGGCAGCGTATCTCTAACCAAGACTTTCCCGGTCGTGGAGATGACCATCATGAGAGGGTCAGAAAAGAATTCCCCAAAATGTCTTCCTTCATTTCAAGACTTTCCAAATCTTTCCTGTCAAGCGAGCGCAGCCACACGTCACTGTAGCAATCTTTAGGCAAGGCTGCGGGCCATCGTAACTTGCCTCCCTCTGGTCGGTAGTTTGAGAGAACACGCTTCGCGGGTTTCCGTCCAGATCGCTTCGGGAACTCGCCTTGCCTCATCTTATGATATTCTTGATCGATATTTTCCACAAGGGATGTAGCCAGAGAGCTACGCCAGACAGGGGTGTGTCTCACTCGGTCTTCGTTCATCACTTCTTCGTCAGACTCTTCTGATGAGCACAGTCGTTCATCTTCAAAAAGGTCACCGAATCTTGCAAAAGGCGAACTGCCTTCAAGTTCGCACATCTCTTTTCTACGTTTCGCAAGCTATAAGGTTGCATAGAAAAAGTTAGTCTTGAACGTATTGTGGCAGATCCAAAAGCCATGAACATACTCGTAATCGTCTTTGTTGTTGACGGTCTCGTTTTTGGTCCCTCTGAAGGATGGCTTCATTATTGTTATATCTTCTCATATGCTTCAGGCGGTAATCAATATGTGCCTGCATTAGTTTCATGATACGCTGTGGGTGATGGTCCACGACATGATACTCTTGACATGCGTATGCTCTGTTGAATGTATCCGTGCAGAATGCAAGAACCCGTCGATTCCAGTCCTCTGCTTTAGCATCTCCTCGAGCCGTGCTCAAACCAACGTAAGGAATGCCGTATTGCTGAAGTCTACGTCGACAGTATTGTAACATACCCGATGCTGTATGTTCCATATCTTCAGGTTTCCAAGTTGGTTGGAGTTGGTCATGTCTGATGAGGTTGGGAACAGCCTCTCCAAGTGGTGCGGTCTCGTAATCCACGGTGAGCTGTGGCATGTTTTCGAGGTCTGAGAGAGTTGGGGACTTTGGGAAGTCTGCTTTAGAACGACCCACCCCTGCCATCAGTCGGAAATGTTTCTGTACCTGATTTGCCTGGGCCCAAAATCACTGTCAGGTTTACATGGGACATATCAGTATCTATTTATTTCGGGACTGACCGTTTGTTCATCAGCCTCTTTGACCTGCGGTGTCATCGACATCCTTTCTTGCCGAAGACTTGGACGCTTGGGTT